CATCAGATATCAGATTCTTCGTTGTCAATGTTTGTTTACCTCTTTATATTTACAAATCTTGCAATAAAATATGAAATTTAAAAAATTTCACACTCCAAGTTGTCTTTTATAATTTATCCTATCAGCATTCTCAGAATAGTTTTATAAAAAATTCATTCGAAGAAAATCTTTGGCCAATAATTAAATTTCCATCAATTACTCACTTGTTTTAAAAATATTCAATTCTTGTAATTATGTTCTCCATAATAGTAATTAATCATCAATTTAACAAAAAAAAAGCAACTCTACACGAGTAGGTCTTTAAAAAAAAAAACTGTAAATAATAAAAGAAAAATTAGTCTCAGTAATATTAGTATTAAAAAAACATATTTAAAAAATTTAGTAAAAAAAAAACAATTCGATAATTAACAAAAAACCGACAATTAAATAGTGATTAAGCGATAACTAATAGCCTTATTTTTAATTACATTCCAGATAAATAGTAAAGCGATCCGGTGATGGTTTATTATTAAAACAATAACAATGATAAACCAAAAAATAATACAAAGAACATGATGTACTTACCAATAACGCGTAGCCAGCCAACCAGTATGATAAAAAATAATAATAAAAGTTAATTTTAAAGCAAATTACGACGTTGGCAACAAACGTATCTGTTGAATGATAAACACCGACTGGGACTGGGACTGGCTGGAGACCGAATAACCAGCAACAACCTGTACAGCAATTACGTATCGATGTCAATGGGAAGTAACTCCGGTGCTTAACGCTCGAAGACGATGACGACTCGGGCGAGTACGAGGGTGATAACGCTGCTGCCGCCTTCACAGCCCATCAGCTAAACACAAAAAAAAAATATAAATCAACACTTGTATTTATACTTAACACACGGTAATACCTATTTTACTTATTACTTATTTATAATACTAAAATTCACCGACATTTTTTATTTTTTAATTATTAAATTAAATAAAAAAAAAATTTTTTTTTAAATTGCACTTAAAATTTTTTACAAATAAAATTTATAAAAATTTTTTTGTAATAATTTTTTCAATAAAAAAAAATTATAAAAATTTTTAAATGTCGGCTAATTTAATTTTTATTACTTATTGCTATACTTACATTTATTTTCATTTAATTAATTCCTTTTTCACTTTCAGGTTTAAATTAAAAAAAAAACACCAACACAGGTGAAACTTTTTCACTAAATTATTTTGTGAGTATAATAATAATAAATAAATTTTTATTTTATTATTTTAAGTAAAAAAAAAAAAAAAAAACGTTAAAACTGCATAATATTCGAGTTTAGAAAAAAAGCGACTCGAGAGCAGCAACGTGCCGGTACCAACGACGGCTGGCTCGGTTCTACGCTGTATTGTGGGTGTCGGGTCACATCTTGCAGGGCCACGTGGTCGTTCAAACTCAGCAAAGCACTTGTTCGAGTTTGCGCGCATCAATATTCCTATCAGTATATATCCTTCTTATTCTATTCACTCTTCGCACGTTACATACCTGCTAAGCTCTGCACAACAATAAAATTTAACCGGATTAGTCTATTATCTATTACCTGAACTGACCTACGCTAGATTTTCATTTACTTTCTATTTTTAAATCTTTAAAGCTAGTAACCTTTTCTTTTTATTTTAATTACTGCTAATTTATGATCTTCGGTTTGTATTATTATATTATTTATGAAAATCGATTTATAATAACAATATCGTATTACTTATTGTAAGTTATTAGTTACTAATTTTACGTATTTTATTTTTAGAACGAGGGAGTTTTTTTTTTTTTTTTCTTTGACGTCACTCAATTCTGCTTCACCTCGGTGGAATAAAAAGGTGAGAAGGGAATAAATGGTTTAGAGGGTGCAAACAACCCCTGCTGATACTGCTCTGGGACACTATTGCCCGTTTACTTGCGGTTAAATGTTACCTGGGTTAAAAAAAATAAAAATAAACCATTTTAGATACTTGGTTTTTTTTTTTTTTTTTTTTTATTAATGTAAAGTGTAAGTAATTAATATTCTAATAAGAATTTATTGTAGAAAATTTGAAGAAATTTTGGTAAATATTGAATGAAAATTAAGTTAGCCGACATCGAAAAATTTTTAGAATTTTTTTTATTGAAAAAATTATTACAAAAAAATAAAAAAAAAATTTTCACTTGTATAAAAAACTTTAAAAACTGTAAATGCATTTTTAAAAATATTTTTTTGTTCTAATTTAATTATAAAAAAAAAAAATTAAAACCGTCGGCTAACTTTAGTATCATAAATATTGACCATTTTAATTTTAATTTTTTTGAACGAAATTTCTATTTGATTTTATTGATAAATTTTTTGTTTGAAAAATACATAAAAAAATGAAAAAAAAAATTAAAAAAAAAAAAGTTGATCACAATTTTGTAATATTAAAGTTAGCCGACGTTTTTCATTTTTGGATTTATTTTCATTAATTAAATTAGAAAAAAAAATATTTTTTTAAAAATTGCACTTATAGTTTTTAAAGTTTTTTACAAATGAAATTTTTTTGTAATAATTTTTTTGTAATAATTTTTTCAAGACAAAAAAAATTCCAAAAAATTTTTATATGTTAGCTAACTTAATTTATCACAATTTTAACAAATTTTCAAAAAAAATTTATAAATCTTTTAGAAAATTGTGATATTCAAGTTTTTTTTTTAATTGTTCTTTTTTTATGTACTTTTTAAAAAAAGATAAAATAGACATTTTATCCAAAAACATGAGAGCCAAAATTTTTTCCAACTTTTGAAGGCAAAAAAGCTATCGAAATTTTTTGTGATTGAGTAAAAAAGTTTTTTTTTTTAATAATAATTGACTCTTTTAGGATAATTAATTTTTGGACATGATTAGTTTCAAATTCAAGTAATTAATTAATGATTTGATTCTATTATCTTCAATAATGTTTGAAGAATGAATGATACAAAACTGAAAATAAGGTAATTTTTTAGACGTGGGGTTTTTTCCATTGTTTTTTCATAATTAAAAATTGAGAAATTAAGTTATTAAATTTTGATTTTTCACACTGAAAAAAAAAAAAAATTCTTGACTTGAAGGTAAATTTTCTTGGCTTTAAAAAATATTAAGGAAGATTGAAAATTTCTTGAATAAAGTCAAAGTTTCTTAAACCAATAAAATTTCTTCTTGCTCCAAAATAACTTTTATCTTCCTTAAAATTTTCTTGGTGCAAGAAGTTTTTTTTAAATATAATAAATATCATTTTTGATGATATTTTTCAATTTGTAATTTATAAAAATTTATACTTGTTTTATTTTTCATTGACATTTTTTAAACGTCGTAAAACTAAAGTTAAAAAAAAAATGTTTTCTTTTATGAATTTAAAAGAAAATTGTAAATTATGATGTTTGATAAACGTTTTAAAGGAAAAAATGCGATAATTTTTCAATATTTTTTTTTCATAATGTGCATCAACAATTGCGTAATGAGGAAAAACATAGTTAATATGTTAATTTTTTTAATTTTTACAATTTTAGGTAAAAATCGGGTATGATTAATCCCAGGAACCAGCAATTGGAGTATAAATTGCTAAAAAATGAATTTATTTATCTTCAATAGTACTCGAAAAAATACGATACAAGATCGAAGATAAAACATCATTGTTGATGTTGAAAACCGAAGCATCCGATTCACATTTCATGTTTATATAACTCTAGTACTTATCTGGTTATCAAACGTACCTGGTAATTTTATCAGACATTTTCAACATTAATATAATTATTTCTTTGAACTAGTATATTAATTACTAATTACTTAAATTAATGTAGAACTATTGACGTCCATTGATACGTAATTACGTATTTACATTGTATGTGTACTTCTTAAGTATGTGTAGAATATGAACTGAAATATTATTAATATTAATGGAGACATCCATTAATTACGTGAGCTCAGAATGAGGGGGGAGGGGTCCAATGAAATCTCACCAAATCTCATCTAAGCCAAGGGGGGGGGATAATAAAAAATCTCACCTCAACTTCAAAAAATATAAAATATTACAGACATTAAAAAAAAAATTATTTTGAGTGTTTATTTTGCCCGCTAAAATAAATTTTATGTCTATTAAAATCATTTACGCTGATGATTTAAACAAGCTCTTCTCAGAGCTAATGGTGAATTTCTTTAACATTATAATTATAATATGTATGGATAAAAAAAGTACATGAGTCTCCATGGATTGAGTAAAAATTAAAAAAAAAAGTGTTGTTTTTATGTTTTTTTTGCTTTGAATTTTATTTAATTTAAATAAATTAACTATAGTATACTTGAATGGTTTATTATTCTCCCGAATAATAAAAATAATTTTAATTTAAAATATTTTTAGCGTCAATCTCACGTAAGGGACGGGGGGGGGGGGTCCAGACAAATCTCACTAAATCTCACCTAAGGGGGGGGGGGGGGGGGGAGGAGTCTAAACTGATCGAAAAATAGCTCAGGTAATTAATGGATGTCCCCTTAGTCTACTAATGTATAAAGATAGCAATCGTAATTAGTATTATTGTTATAGGTAGTTTCTATTATCGTTATTGCTCAATATACGTGTAAAAATAAGTTACGAAATGGGACATTATAGATAAATAATATCGACGACAATTATGGATAAAAAAATGCGAAAAAAAATTTTTTAAATTGCTCGCATATATTTTTTAAGTAATTTAATATATATTTTTCCCCTATATACAATCATTGTAACGAATACAATGATAGCTGTAAAGCGACATCGATCGCAAAAGTTTTCTTATTGTTCTTTTGCAGTATATATAGATATGTAACATGTTGTAAATGTATATGTACAACCGCGATGTCGCATGTATTTTGACGCTCGATTTATGTTGTATCGAACAAACAAAACACGTGAGCTTTTTTTGATAACCAAAAAATTTATCAGCTGCTATTTTTAGTCTTTAAAGTTTTTTAACAATTTATTTTTATTGTTTTTAGATAATTGGACAATTAAACAATGAGCACGGCGGTTTTAAGATATGTTTCTTCGGATGCGGGTAAATCAAAAAGATCTTTTTCCGCGCCTGTTAAAAAGTCTAATTCCAGGGAAACTATTGTAAGTAATTATACATTTATATTATTTAGAAATAATTAATATACAGAAAAAAAGGTTCACTTGAGTCAAGAAAATATTTTTCTTCCTAATTATTTTCTTGAGAAAAAAAATTTTTTTTTTTACAAGAAATTTCACTTATTCTAAAAATTAATTTTCTTGCTTTAAAAAATGCTATCTTGATCCAAGAAAATTTATTTAAGTCAAGAAAATCTTGTTGTTTTGAGAAACTTCAGCCTCTTGCTCCAGAAAATTTAGTTCTTGATAGAAGTAAATTTTCTTGTCTTGAGAAAATTTCTCTCTTGCTCCAAAAAATTAAATATAAAGATAGAAGTAAATTTTCATTAATATTTTTATTGATTAACATGTCAAATTGAAAGATCAAATAATATTTCATCATTTTTTTTCATTCAATATGTATAATTTCACGCTAAAATAATATAAAAAGGGTATCAAATATTCAAGAGAAAATTTTCTCAAGGTGAGAAAATTTTTTTCTCAGCTGAAGTAAGTGGCACTGCTTCCCTAAAGTATCTAAAAATCTTGATCAAATATAAAAATTTATTGTATCAAGTATTTATGATAATTTGAATTAAGAAAAAATTACTTCCACCTAAAATAGAATTTCAAGAAAAATTTTTACTTCGGCCAACACAACTTCGGTTTTCCTTCAGGCACCCGAAAATTTTCTTGAGCCAAGAATTTTGTTCTCCAATCAAAAAATTTTTTTTTCTGTGTATTGATTTTTAATTATTATTATAAAATTTGCTTATTATTTATAAATTATTTCAGCACCATTCAAATTTGGGTAGAGCACTACGGATTCCCTGCAAAAATATAACACTTGATTGTACGTCAAAAGTATTAACAAAATCCGAGTATGAATATTTCCGTAATTGTGCGATTGAAGGTCTCAAAACGGAGAAAGAAAGGCGAGATAATTTTTACGAAAATGAGATGAAGAAAGAACATTTGCTGGCGGAGAGTATTGCTCGGAAGGAAAAAATACGGCAAATAGACATGGAAAAATTGAAGAAGAAAACTAATAAGCTTGATGAGTTTGAAGCTGAAGCGAAGGCGAGGACTATGCATTTGTTAGAGAGAGCTAATAATTTGAAACTGGAGCAGGAAGAAGAGATGCAGTTGTGCAATAAATTAATTTTAGAGACCAAGTGCCGAGCTATCAGAGATCTTCAGGTATTAAATTGTGAAATAATTGCTATATTTTGTGTATTAAATTACATGACACTGAAGTTAGCAGACGCCTAAAAATTTTTGATTTTTTTTATTAATTAAATTACAACTAAAAAGATATTTTTAAAAAATTGCACTTATAGCTTTTCAAGTTTTTTACATGTGACAATTTTTTTTTTAATTTTTTAATTGAAATTTTTTCAATAAAAAATTTCTAAAAATTTTGAAATGTCGGCTAACTTCATTTTCATTTAAATTACGTAAGGTAAAGTACCCAGTACTTGAACAAACTTTTCGAATTGTTGTAATACAAAATCCGGTATATTTATTATGAGTATATGCGCATGTTATAATTATTCAATGATACAGTAATTGATTATTGTAATTTTTTTCAATTATAAATCAAAACAATTATTTTTTTGATCATTAAGTTGAACTAATAATTAAATCTTTATATATTAAAAGTAGGCTCAGATATATTTTACTTTGAAAACTTGTTCAACTACTGGGTAATTTACCTTAATTAATTTTTTTAAGATTGCAGAAAGAAGATTGATTGAAAAAGAAATGACCCAAGAAGAAAAGCGGCTGAATGAAATGATGGAAAATGAGCGACGGGAAAAAATACAAGAAGAGAAGAAGAAAGAAGAGGAATTAGCTGCTAAAAGGCGGGAATTTGCATCCCGGTTGAAGCATCAAATAATCGAAAATGAAGAGCAGAAGATTATTGAGTTTGAGAGGAAGCAAGAGGAGGGTAAATTGATAAATCTCAGTAACATTGCGTGGATGGATGAAGAAATACTGAAGGAAAAGAGAAGAAAAGAGCAGGGCGCGTTGATAAGGAAGGAACTGGCTGCTGAAAATGAACGGCTGAAGAAATTCAAAGAAATGGAACGCGAGGAGAACAGAATTATTGATATGAGAATAAAAGAGTATCAGAAAATGAAGGCAGAGCGTGATAAAGCGATTGCAGAGACTCAGAAGGCCATTCAAGCTGAGAAAAATCAAGAGCGAATTCGGGTAATGAAACAGGCGATGCAGGCTCATGATTTTCAAGCCCAAATTGAGGAGCTTAATGAAATACGGATCAAAGAGGAGGTAGAGCGTGAGTGGCGGCGACGGGAAAAAGAAGCTGCGCTTAATAAATTGAAGACAAGGCGACAATTTGCTCAGGCGCGACAGGATCAAATAAAGTCCCGTAAAATTCTTCAGGCTATGGAGTTGGAGCGGGATAAGCGTGAATTTCAGAAAATTGTTGCCGCGCAAAAAGAAGCTCTGGCGAAGGAGCAGGAAAATCGAGAGAAGCAGCTACGGCAAGCTCAGAAACATCGTGATGAAATATTGAAACAAGTTAATGACAAAGAAAAGGACAAAGTTGAAGCAAGGCGGAGGGTGTTTGAAGAGGGTATGGCTCAGAGGGCGGAAATTGAAATGAGAGCAAGAAGACTGAGAGAAGCTATGGAAAGAAAATGCCAAGAAATGAGAGAAAATAAAGTTCCAGAAGTTTATATCAATGATATCAAAAGCATGATTGCTAAAATTCAATAAGCTTGGGCTGTTTAAAAATTGTATAAGTTACTATGCAGCGCTTTTTTTATAACAAATAGAAAAATGAGTAGAAAAATTATTATTATATTAAGTTTTTGTTTTATACATTAAATATTTAACATTTAACATTATTTAAATAATACGACGACATTAGGATCTTTTTCAACGATGTCTTCTATTTGCGCGACAGATTGTCCGGTGTTACAGCAAATTTCATCAAAACTGTAGGCGCCTGTGAAATATTTATACACTGGATCATTTTTAGTGTCCTCACTGTTGTCATCAAAGTTAATGTCTGCGAAAGATCTTTTTACGTAGATAGGATACTTGTAAACTCTGCGTATGAACCCTTCGATCAATCCAAATTGCACTAGCCTTCGTTCATTTATTCTCAAATTCTGTGGATTCAATCTCTGGCACAAATCTTTCATCATCGTACCGTGTGTCATCGTCGCGTACATCCTGTAGATGTCACGGAGATGAGCTGGTTGTCTTGCTGAAATTATTTATATTAAATAATTGCACAGATATGTAAATTGATAAATAAAAAAAGTTTGGAAAATCCAAAACTCCACGACTCATAATTATGAAATATTAATAAAATAAAAAATGTGAAAAAAATATATCGCGTTACTAAAACCATAAGGGCGTATAAAAAATTTTTTTTTGCTCCAATCAATGTAAAAATGTTGAAAACATTAACATCCCAGTCCGAGCTATCTAATAATTTTTTCTCACATATTCTATACACTCACATTAAGAAGTTCCTCTCCACAATCCTTTCTCAATCCTTTCCTATCAAAATATCCTGTTACGTGAATGTTGGAACGCTTCACGTAATAATTATCCGTAACTCCTATTCTTTCCCGCTTCACAGCATTATTTATATTTGTTAAAAATGCTAGCCGTAAGATGGACGATTAGGAACGCTTCACAAGAACAAATATAAATAATGCTGTGAATTCCTCGGATAATCCTATCTAATTATCCGGTGCTGGTGAATGTTGGAACGCTTCACGTAATAATTATCCGTAACTTCTATTCTTTCCCGCTTCACAGCATTATTTATATTTGGGACATTATATAGATCCTATAACATTAACTAAGTATGGAAAAAACGAAAAAAAAAATTTTTTTTTGTTATACGCTCTTATGGTTTTAAGAAAACATTTTTCTAAAGTCATAAGGGTGTATCTTGTTTTTTCGGTTAATTATCAATTATAGGTCAGAGTAAGAAAAAAAATTGCAAAGGTAATAGAAATTATCACTCCACAAGTTAATTTATATCAACAAATATTTATTTAAGTAAAAAAACAAATGAAAAATTAAGAAAAAATAAATTTATAACAACGTGAGAACAAGCGGTATTGGTATGTCTTCAAGTTAATAAATTTAGCCTCAAAGTTTTTCTAAATTGATTTTTTTTTTTACTTCAGATGTATTTAAAATTAACAAAAGAGTTTTGTAGACCATTTAGAACTGTAATTTTAAAAAAGTCATTCAAAAAGAACTTTGTTCCTGAGAATGGTTATGATTCTTTAATACCAATATCTTGAAGCAAGTTTGATGACGTAAATCATTTTTGTACATCAGGCACCGTCCGACAAAATATCATCGGTATTATCAAAGTTTAATTTTCAGCCATGGTCATAATTTATAAATTCTTTTATTATCATCAAGTTAGATTAAAAAAAAAAATTTTAAATCTTTTTTTTTTTTTTTTTTTATAAATCTTAGATACAGATGATCCTAACGATGGGGATGACATTGGACTATTACCCTGATGAATTTATTTTTTCTTAATTTTTTATTCGTTTTTTCACTTAAATAAATATTTGTTGACATAAATTAAGTTGTGAAATGATAATTTCTATTATCTTTGCAATTTTTTTTCTTACTCTGTCCTATTCATAAAGGCGTATAACAAAAAAATTTTTTTTTTCGTTTTTTCCATAAATGTTAATGTTTTCAATATTTTTACATTGATTGGAGCAAAAAAAAATTTTTTATACGCCTCTATGATTTTGAGTAACGCGATATATTTTATTAGTTCAACTATTGCTCGTCAGAATTGATTGTTCAACTACTCCTTTCATAGTCTTAAAAACGTTGTCAAAATATAAATATTCAATTATCTACGTTATTTTGCACTTAAATCAATTCAAAATTGTTTAAATTTTCATGAAAATCACTAATTTAAACTATAGAAATTACATCTTTATATAATGAAAGTAGGGTCAAATACGTTTTACTTTGAAACCTGTTCAACTACTGGGTACTTTATCTTAGTTGCCGAAATGAGGCGGAAAAAATTTTTCGATCGCAAAGCACTCTCTGATGTTTCGCATCATGAGTCGTGCAATTAATGATGAAAATAAAAATTACCAGACTTAGACACAAAGTTTATACATCTTTCCTGCAGCTCTTGACTTTCAGCCAACACTCCAAGCTTCGAGGTAGTTGTATAGATGTTGCAGTACTGAAATATGGGAATTAGAGTGACCACTCCGTAGTAAACGAGATTTTGCACGCAACTCTTGACAAGATTATTCTCGACATCAGCTTCTGCTGCGATTCGCGCAACATGATTGAATCCGTCGATGTACGGCAACACCTGCTGGGTCGTCAGGTCCCATTGGTCGCAGCAAAAGTTCTCGCGATTTACAAGAAAAACAGGAACTTGGTGGTCTAATACGGGCTTCGGCTCAGCTGCCAGTCTCACTACTTTCAAGTGTGTCGTCATAGTTCCTTCTGTCAGCGTACACATGTTATGCGAGTTCAGGTCATTCATTACTTGCGCCAGGATTTCAGTCAGCCGACTTTTGTCCACGGACACGTTTGACAGGAAACAATTTTCTACTTCCAATGCCATCTAAATATTTATTATTATTAAAAGCTTGTAATAAAAAATTTATTTAATAAAGTTATTACCAAAAAATCAGACATTTTCTTAACTACTGGCTCGTAATGGACTGTTCGTGCATCAGCGTCACACACAAAACATAAGTTGAAATAAAATGCATTTCTTGCGTATTTTTTGTCGTCTATTTTTACAGGAAAGCCTAAAATTTTACAATTTTGTAGTGTTCTGTAAATAAATATTTATTTTATTATAATTCATTTTTTTTTTTTTTAATGATAAGATGATACGGAAATTAGTAGACTAAAAATTCTTAAAATTTTTATAATAAATCAATTATTATAAAAAAAATATTTTTTTAAATTTGCACTAATAATTTTTTAAAATTTCTACATGTGGAATTTTTTTGCTAAATTTTTTATTACATATAAATTGGCAGATAATTTTTTTTTATTTTTAATAATAAACTAAGTTTATGATAATTAATTTAGCAGAAATAATTTTCAGAATTTTTTTTAACAAATAAATTATGACAAAAAAATTAAGAAAAAAATATTGACATGTAGAAATATTAAAAAGTTATAAATGCAATTTTTCAAAAATAATTTTTCACAAAAATTTTATTTATTAAATAAAATTAAAAAATTATCAAATGACTGCTGATTTTAATGTTATGCTAAGTTAAAAAAAAAAGTTATATATAAAAAACTTCACTTGTAATTTTTAGAACTCCTAAAGATGGAATTTTTAAAATAAATTTTTCTTGATATAATTTATTAATTAAAAAATTAAAAAAAATTATCAGCTGTCTCTCAATTTCAGTATTATAATTTTTTTCATTTTAATTTAATTGTTAAACAAATCTAAAAAATTATTAGATTTCCGTTAAATCCACTATCATATGAGAAAATAAAATTTTATTATGACACTGAAATTGACAGACATTAAAATTTTTTTTATAATTATTAGAGTGATAAAATTAATGATACTAAAGTTAGCCAACAATTTTAATTTTTTGATTTTTTTTTAATAATTAAATTAGAACAAAAAAAAATATTTTTAAAAATTGCACTTACAGTTTTTAAAGTTTTTACAAATGAAATTTTTTCTTTTTTTGTAGTCAATTTTTTGAATAAAAAAAAATAAAAAAATTTTTAAGTGCCGGCTAACTTAATTTTCATTAAAATTACTATGAAAAAATTGAATTAAAAAAATCCATACGTGAAAATTTAAAAAAATTTTGAGTGAAAACTTTTGAAAGCATTTTCTATTTTAATTCATTTTTTATAAGAACTTAAAAAATTGACAGCTGTCAGCTAATTTCAGTATAATAATTTTATTTCAATATTTAAAAAAAAAAAAAAAAACGTACACAGTGAGAGTACTCCGTTGCAACTGCGCTTTTGGAATTATGTACACGCTTACATTATCAAATATGTCTTTGGAAACATGATTATCAGGTACCTAAAAAACATATAAATTAATTTTAATAATTTATCTCTTCATTATAATCTTCTATTAGAACTCTAAATTAAATAACAAAAAAAGTAATTATAATCATACGAACTTGACAAGTTATTTTAGGACCAGCAATGTGATGAAATTCGGAAAAAAAAATACAACGAATGACACCCTTATCATCACTGTTGCTGTCATTTGAATTTGAGTACAACATTTTTCTTCTTTTGATTCTTTCACATGCTAAATCTCAAGATCTCAATATTTTGACAGGTTATAATACAATTTTATCAGTTAAAAATATTAAAACTCTTAAAAAATAAAATACTAAGTTGGTTTCACTTTAAGTATGTGTAATTTTATAATAAAATACTGTATTTATAATATTATTTTGTTAATTTACAGCCAGTTATATCATAGCAACAACACAAACCACAATACTGGAGTGGACAGGTGGATCTGTGGATCTCCCGTCCTCTCGTCAACTAAATACATATCAGCTGATTATAAATATACTGGGTGTTGTTTTTATACAATTACATATCTTCAGAAGATAATTTCAAGTCATTCCATATCCGTCACCAAGTATATGAGTTGTATAGCCCAAAATTGGCTATAGTAAATTTATTGAGTTCTTTTAATTCGCCCGTTGGAACGCGGTAGGGCGTTCAACTCGCAGTAAATAAATTAAGGCGGGAGAGTAGATTTAAATTCGAATAAGTTGAATTAAATAACATATATAATAAATTTAAAATACTCGGATTATTTTAGTTTAATTTAGATTTGCCTTGCGCGCAAATCTATTATTTATTATTCAGTAAATTACAAAATAAAATTACCGACAATAATTCCGAAAAAGAAAATATTGGCGTACTTAAGTCTTGCTTATTGATAAGTGTCTTCTTGTTTTTCGCTGTCCGACTCCCCTGGTTGAGATGTTCGTACCTTTGGAGTGGGAGAGGCCCAGAGGGTAGTGAGGGTAGTTGCGCGCGCCTCTACAACTCTCATCTTCGGCTAGCATCCCTTCTCAAGTTGGCAAAATGGGACCATGTTGAAATGACGTCACGACAACCCTCGATGTTCCCAGGTCATTTGCAGCCCGCCTGGATGTCTGGTTTTTATGACCTAGCCCTAGGTACTCGAGTAATCCCTTTTTGAATGAACGTTTTGGAAGATAAGTCTCTTAAGAGATTATGGCAATAAAAATAAATAAAAATCTCTGGGTTTTCCAGTTTCGTAAAGAATATTCCAAAACGTTCGGTATCTTATTCTAAGTGACCATTACAATTACAAGCGTAAGTTTATTTTAACAAAGAAATTTTTCTCAGAATGTCTAGACTAACTACACGGCACTTAAAAGTTTTTATGTTTTCCCTTGGGAGTTGATACTATTTAAATCTTACTAGGTTTTTCCCGCTATTATTCATTGCAGCCATCTTTTTATACGTAATTCTATGTTAATATACAGAGAGCGTTGTGATCAATCCTTTGTGGATTCAAAGGGAATACACTATACTAAAAATTACTAGACCAAAGTGATACGATTATTATTATTATTATTTATTAGTCAACAAAATATATTTAAATAATTAATTATTATTTAATAAACTTTAATTGGATTAATTAGATTATTTGGATGCCACAGCTGTGGTGGTATCTTCCGCGATTTATCTGTGTATATCCGTGTGAGATTTAAAGTACGTTGAGTGGTCCCAGTTGTTGCCGCTTGGCGGTGTTGAGGCGTTTTTAGTTGCGAGTCTACCACTAGAGGCGTGACCGCGCTGACAGTACCGCCACACCTTTCGGATTCACACGGAGGTACACTCTCTTGTTGCGACAACCATACATATATATGTATGTTCTAGATTCAGTGCACTGAATTTAACAGTAAGCACCAGCAAGTACTTACTTACTGTACTTTCTTCGATATTTCGCAATCTTTTGTAATCAGCCTGAAAAATTGACAGTACAAATTATTTAATTATACATAAATTAATTTATTAATTGAATATTAAAATATTAAAATGCCGGTACACATTCCTTGGCCAGCAACAGTTGCAGTGGTTCTTCCAAATCTTGGTGGATGGGCTGGGGCATTTGTGACTCGGCAAAACATCAGTCCATGGTACAAGGTAACTCTTTTTATCTGATAAGTTATTTTTAATTATAAATTTCAATAACATATTGATACTTAATTATTACGTAAATTTTTTAGACGTTAAATAAACCAACATGGACACCTCCGAACTGGATGTTTGGACCGGTATGGACTGGTTTGTACTGTTCAATGGGTTATGCCTCGTACCTGGTGTACCGTGATGGAGGCGGCTTTGAAAATGCCGCAGTTCCTTTGTCTATTTACGGAGTAAATGTAGCCCTCAATTGGATGTGGACTCCTATATTTTTTGGAGCTCATAATATTAAATTGGTAAATATTTTTCTGTGCTAATAGTAATTTTTCATGATACTGAAATTGGCATGATTGTTCAATCAAGATTAGCAAATTTGAAAACAAATTTGTTCAAAAAAATTACTTTTATAAAATTGCATTTTTTATTTTTTTAAATTTTTTTCAATTTTTTTTTTGCCATAATTTATTTAGAAAAAAAATTCTAAAAATTATTAAATATCTGCTAAATTTATTTTCAGGAAATTTACCAGATATCTGACAATTTTAAAAATTTTTTGATCGAATCAATTATTATAAAAATAATATTTTATAAAATTCGCATTTTTAATTTGTACATGTGGATTTTTTTTTGCTAAATATTTATCATCGTAAATTAATTATTATAAAAATCTAAAAAATTGTTAGATATCTGTTGAATTCAGTATCATACTTTTTCATGATTTTTTAAATTATTTGACACTGAAAAAATTAGATTTTTCATGATAGTGAAATCAATAAACATCTTACAATTTTTTAGATTTTTATAACATTTAAATTATTATGAAAAAAATTTAGTAAAAAAATTCCACATGTAGAAATTAAAAAAAAAATTTCAAAAGTTGTCTGGTGATTTATTAAAATTAATTTAGCAGAGATTTGATAATTTTAAGAATTTTTTTAACAAGCAAATTATGGTAAAAAATAATTAGAAAAAAAATTGACATGAAATTTTAAATAATTAAAAATGCAATTTTTTAAAAATGATTTTAGCACAATTAAGTTAGCAGTCACTTGACTATTTTTTAATTTTTTCTCAACAAATAAATTTGTTCCAAAAAAATTGAATTTTCAATTTTTTTAAATTTCTTCATGTCAATTTTTTTTTGTCATAGTTTATTTGTTGAAAAAATTCTCAAAATTATAAAATATCTGCTAAATTAATTTTCATAACAATTTTTTAGAAGAAATTTATTAAAAAAAAAAATTGATATGTAGAAATTAAAAAAAATGCAATTTTGGAACAAATTTATTTGTGAAAAAAAATTAAAAAATAGTCAAGTGACTGCTAATTTCCATGTCATGCTGATTTTAGTATCATGAAGTAACAGTTTTCAAACAAATTTAATACCTAAAATTAAAAAATAGTTTTTCTTAAGCTTTTAATTTTAATTTACACTCATCCTTGAAATAGGATTAGATTTATGATTTCTAAGAAATGAAAGAAAGAACCTAAAATAATAAAAGCGGGTAAATTTTTACAACTTCAAATGCGGGCTTCATATAGCACAAAATAAATTTTACTGCAAATAATAGAAGCTGAATATTTTAAAAATGGATTGAAAAGTTGGTAGAAAATTAAAAAAAATCTTATCGATATTACAAAATTTAATTTACTTTAAAATTCTAAAATAATGACATTAAAAATCCTAAAATTTATTTTCAGTAAATAAAATAAATAAATTGTTTACATTCAACAGGCCTTGTACGAGATCGCAGCACTCTGGGGATCAACAGTAGTCCTAGGGATAAGTTTCTTCAAAGTAAATAAACTCGCCGGTGGACTGATAGTGCCTTACTTAGCTTGGATCACCATCGCTGCCGCTCTAAACTACTCTGTTTATCGGAATAATAAAATCACTGATGTAACAGACGAAAAAGAAAAGTAAAGAATCGCTAGTTTAAATATAAATAACTTAAATTTTAGATGCACATATTTTAATATTGCTTTTCGGCCACTACAAACCCACAATGCATTCCAGGATTTATGTATATATAATATTAATATTATATGATATACACTGGTGACACTGTTTATGGTGTACATATTTTTTTATTACTTTATAAGAAATAAATGTGAGTTGGCCAACCACTGATTGATTACAGTATTGATACAATAGTAATAATAATAAATTTTTCCTTCCTTTCCTTCATATTTCTCTCTCCTTTATACTTAATCTACATTTTATATTTTTTTTTTATTTTTTTTTTTATCCTTGGAATTATAGTATCGAAATTTTTATTCTTTTAATATATAATTAAAAGGATCTATAAGTTATTTGTTGGTTTTATTTTTGCTCATATTTGTTACGTCGGATCTGTGGCATAAATATATCCTTGTTGTTGGAGCACGTACAGTCGTTTTTCCACAGCAGTTTTATCTAAAATAAATGATATTTTGTTTTATTAATAAATAGACTGGCGTATTATTATTATTATTGATTGCACATACATTTGATAAGCAATGCTCTGTCTTGGCTGTGGCTCACGTGCTGAGACAGAGAATGAAGGAGAATTTGTGCAGTATGATAACGTTGAAAGCACTCAGCTGGATTCCCAAAGAGCTCATCCAGAGCCGCCGATTGACACTAAAAATAAATACCAATAAAAAACAGTCACAGTTATCATCAAAGATATCGATAAAAAATAAAAAATAAAAAATAATATACCATTTGTATTGCATGATTGTATAGAATTTTGTCAGCAGTTGCTCCAGTTTGCCGTAGTAACCCAGCACTGTTCAATTGCTTGCATTCAGCCAGACAGATTCTAAACTTATCATTCATTGTATTAACAACTTCCTTGACGTTGGCTGTGGGCTGGAGTCTTCCAGCTTTGAGCTGCTGAGTTGCCAAGCTGAGGCCCGAACTGAGCCACTGCAGAGCTCTGACCAAGAGAATAACTTGCTCAGCTCGTCTTTTTGTCGCGGCGTTGCTGGCTGATTCAACGCCTCCCAGAGGCGCACCCAAAGGTCCTGCTCGAGTTCTAGCGACTTCGCTGACACAGTCACACAGTGCCACGACAAAGTTTAACTTTGCTAGGATTTCATTGTGCTCGCGTTCCAGAAGAGTTTCTTCGGGTAATTCTGGGGCGATGAATGTCAAAGGACGATCGTCTGATGATGTAGGAATTAATTCTGGGAAGAAACTCTGAAAGCTTCCGGCTTCTGAAAAATTTATTACAATTTAATATTTTATTTTCATTAATTTTATTATCTATATTATTAAGAGAATAAGAAAAATTTTGTCTCCAGGATAGTCATATGATAAAATCGGTTTTTTTTTAGTGAAATTTAGTGTCATTGCAAAGGTCTTGACTTGAATTTGTGCCTTTTCAAGGTTTCATATCATTTTCACCGATAGTCAATTTATGATGATAAGTATTTAGACTGCATTCGAGAATTTTCTATCTCTAGATACATAATTAAGAAATAACCTTGTATCTTGTGAACTATTGACATTTTTAAAGATATAAGCTCATCCTGATGTCACACTCATCAAGATCTTTCATTCAAGTACCCACATCAATTTTTCATATATTTATATATATCATATATATGTATATATGAAAAATATATCAAAATGCATGTGGGTACTCAAATGAAAGCTCTTGATGAGTGTAACATTGGAATGAGCTTATATCTTTAAAAACGTCAATAGTTAAGAAAGTACAGTGCAATTTAACAAAGTCATTATTTAATAAAGCAAAATTTTTTTTATTTATAGTTCACAAGTCACGGCCGCTAGTTTAAATTAATCAATTAATTTGAGAGTATCGAGAAATTAAAATTCTAATCAAATCTGTAACTTAGTTTCATTTTTTTCTTTCTTTTTTCTGTAATACCGTCTACCCAAAAATTTTTATCTTCTTGTTTTTATTTTCATATTGATAAAGATTGTATTAATATAATTTTAATTATTTAGTGCAATAATTTTTATTTTTAACTAAAATTAATTGTATTGTAAAAAAAAAAAATTATTTATTACCGAATCAAGAGCCAGTGTTTCACTGATAAAAAATTAACTTGACTTAAGAGCTAAAATCTTAAACCAAGAATACCATTTTGAAGAAAATGATTTTCTTAAGTCAAGAGAATTATTCTCGATTTAAGTAAATTTTTCTTGTCTTAAGAATTTATTCTTTTGACTCAAGAAAATCATTTACTTCAAAATGATATTCTTGGTTTAAGATTTTACTAAAATCTTAAACCAAGAATACCATTTTGAAGAAAATGATTTTCTTAAGTCAAGAGAATTATTCTCGATTTAAGTAAATTTTTCTTGTCTTAAGAATTTATTCTTTTGACTCAAGAAAATCATTTACTTCAAAATGATATTCTTGGTTTAAGATTTTAGCTCTTGAGTCAAGTTAATTTTTTTATCAGTGAAGTCTTATTGCAACTTATAAATAACACTCTAATAAATAAATAAATTAATAAATAAATAATAATTACCCGATATTTCAGGTAAAGTTACTGCGCGAGTTCCAAAAGGAATAACCGGCGAATGCCTCAAAGTATTATTATTATCTTGAAGTGCTTTAGCAGTCGGTGAACCCAAAACAGCGAGAGGTCCAGTGAGAAGTGGTGAGGAAGCGCTGTTACTTCCTAGTGATCTCTTGAGAGGTGAATTCCCAGTAGAAATATGAGAGTGCCTTGCACTGGGACTGACTTGCCAAGTGTGAGGAGGCGGTGGAGTTTCGCTGAGCCTTCTGCTCGGCGGAGTTCCGATAACAAACTGGACACTGGGAGGACTCATCGAGCCGATGTCAACGGGGTAGTTCTTATGACAATCTACGCTTCGTTTCATGCTGATCGGCTGGGATCGAGGAACGACACTCGTTTCAGTTCGTGCTGTTGCTGAAGGGGATGGCGGATGAACGGTGCTTTGTTGCGTTGGAACGGGAATTGGCTCAGATATCGGTAGAAAACAAGGTCTCGGAGGACTGACTGCTTCTTTGCTCATCTGTTTCGTGTACTTAACTTGGTGAGGAGTGGGATTGTTCTCAATGTCGTTGCTCAAGTCGTTTGGTACCAGGACGTAGTCGTCTTCCGGACTCGAGCAAGGACTGCTGGCCTCTGGAACGGATGCGTTTATCAGCCCAGCTTGCGGCTCTTGGACAGTCTCTGGTGACGCCGGCAGTTCGGCAAACACCAAGTTTGGACTTTCCTGGGTTCCGTGGAGGAATCTGTGGTTGAAAAACTCGTCAAAGGCCATTCGATCTCTGGCGTTGCGCCTCAGAAGGCCCATCAATAAGCTTGAGAGCTCCGGTGATGTTCCTGGTGGTATTTTCGGTCCGAGGTTTACGTTTTTTTCGTAAAATAATTTTAGAGCTTGAGGGGTGTGAGCTTGGAACGGCGCTTTTCCAGTTAGACATTGAAATACTATCGTACCGAGGGACCACAAGTCTGCTTTTGCGTCATACTGCAGTGACATTATCACCTCTGGTGCCATGTACATTGGGGAACCACACAGGGTAGCTGCCATCACTCCGTCTTGCAAAAATCTTGCGAATCCGAAATCAGCTGTAATTAAATTTATGATTGAAATAAGTTTGGTGATAATAAAAAGAAATGGTAATTATTTACAAGTGGGTTAAAAGGATTTATTTATAGTTAAAAATATTTGTTAATATTTAACAAATCATTTATTAGAGACCACTTTTTACTTGTTAATAAATATTTGTTAGTATTTAAAAAGATTTATTAAAATTTAATAAATCAATATCAGATTTATTAAATACAAAAAGATCATTTTAAATACTAAGAAATATCTGTTTAATACTAAAAGTGGTCTATAATAAATGATTTGTTAACTGTTAACAAATATTTTTTAATAAAAATAAATCCTTCTATCAGTGTAGGTGAGAAATTAACATTTTCAAATTTTTTTTTGATTCTGTTTGTTTTTACTGCGCATTTATGATAAAAAATGTCGTGAAAGAAAAAAATAAAGATTTCGATGGCTTTTTTGCTTTTAAAATTTGGAAAAAATTTTGGCTCTCATGTTTTTTGGATAAAATTTCTATTTTTATCTTTTTTTTGATAAAAAAAGAACAATTAAAAAAAAAACTTGAATATCACAATTTTCCAAAAAATTTATAAAATTTTTTTGAAAATTTGTTAAAATTGTGATTATCAACTTCTTTTTTTTAATTGTTCATTTTTTTATGTATTTTTCAAAAAAAATATATCAATAAAATCAAATAGAAATTTTGTTCAAAAAAATGAAAATTAAAATGATTGACCCCACTTGTTAATATTTACCAAAGAAATTATGGAACAAAAGTTGAAGAAAATTTAATTTTACAAAAAAATATCTCTTTTGATTTTTTTATACAACTAATATTTTTACCGTAATTCCAAAATTAAGATTCATAATGAGTGATTAAAATTTTTTGCTAATTATAAAAATTTTAATTTTGAAATTACGGCTTTCTTATTGGTCTTCAGAAAAAATTATAAAATAAATTTTTTTATAAAAATTAAATATTGCACAAAAAATTTTTTTATACAATCAATATTTTCATGATAATATAAAAAATTTGACACCATCAATTATTAACCCTCAGAGTTCACACCTCCGAACAAAACTTTAGAATCCACACGGGGTCAAATTGACCCCATTTGACTTTCGAAGGATTATATCTCAGAAACTACGCATTTTATCGGAATTCAAGTTATTACATTTTTGGTCGGTAAAATAAAGCTTTTTTGAATACAATCATTATTATTCTGAATTAGTTTTTAATGTTGAAAAAATTAATTAAAAACGAACCTATTTTCGAGAAATATTTTAGGATACAAAAAATTGTGGGGTCAAAATGATCCCCAGTGTACTCCGAGGGTTAATTATTATTTTGAAATTAAAGCAAAAATCCTGGTCATAATAATTAAAAATTATTTTTATGAAAAAAAAAACATACCTATTTTCAATGTGATTTGGTGGGGCTGAGGACAAGCTTTTCCACAGTTGTGGCTTAGGAGAATATTTTGTGGCTTCAGATCTCTGTGGACGACTCCTTTGGCATGAAGAGCTTTCATAGCTCCTGCTAATTGCTTCAAGAATACTCTTATTGTATCTTCAGATAGTGTTCCCTTGGCTATAAATAAAATTTATTACATAATTTTCTGTACTAATTGATGATAACAATTTATTAATTACCTCCAAGATAGTCAGCCAGGTCGCCTCCATTGCAATACTCCATAACGAGGAAGACATTATGATTGGATTCCTTTAATTCAATAAAATGTTTTTTAGAAAAATTTTTTTATATAAAAAAATTGTGATAAATCATTCTTATTATTTTATTATGCATGGATTAAAATTCTATGTTAAAAAAAAAAAAGTAGTAATACCTTGCAATCCAATAACGCAACAACATTTTCGTGATGCAGCTCCGTAAGCTCCTGTGAATAAATTGGAATTAGTTAAAAGGCAATAAATAATATAAGTCACTGAATGTTTAATGACTAACCTTTAAAATCTTGATTTCTTTGCCCAGAAGATTTTGCGACTTAGCCAAACTCTTTTTAGTAATACTTTTGATTGCAACAACGAAATTAGGTTTCTGAAATAAAAAATAAAATTGTCACATTACAAAAATTAAAATAGAGTATTTAAAAATAAAAATAAATACTTTTCTGTGTCTGCCTTTGAAAACAACAGCAAAAGCTCCATGACCAATGAGGTCTTTTGTGTTGTACTCATAATCACCCACTATTTCCATAATTTATTTACTTATATAAACAAATTAAATCGTAGTGATAAATAGTAATTATCCAACAATCTGTATAAATAATTATTTAAAAAGCACACTTTTAGGTGAGATGAATCGCGCATCATCAGGATCAATACAAGAAAAGTCAAGATTCGTTTGCAAAAGCTTCATGCTTATTCACCTTGACTCTGGATCATCATCATCATCTAAGTAACACAATTATTTATTAATTATTCAAATATATCGTAGATTATTTACCAGCACAACACTTGTTACTTGTCATTATTTACAACAATTAAATTAATTAAATAATGTAAATAAAGATTAAGTAAAAATTATGAAACAACATATAGAGCTAAGTCAAAAGAACTGGAGTCGTAGGAAATCCAACAAAATGTCAGCCAGTTCAAGAAAAATATATATAGTAGGAGTAAATGTAAGTAGGATGCCAGTGTTCATGCGCCGTTCTTCTATCAGCTGAGACACTTACTTGTACCCCATATATTTATATGTTATTATATAAATTATTTACGTATAAATAAATTATCTTTTTACCTTTTAAATACAATCTGAAAAAATAATAACACTATTTATTTTTTTTTAATGACACTGTTTTTGTAATTGGCAACAAAGAACTCAACCACTTACTCCAATTCTTTTGTCATGTTTTTGAGGTCATGATAAATTCGCCTGTGATTTCATTTATGGGTAAAAATTTCAAATGTCAAGTGACCTTATTGTTTTTTAATTGATAAAAGATGATTTGACATCTTATTAATTATTATTTTTTAATTTTTTTTTCAATTAGATAAAATTTTATTTCAAATTTACTACTATTCTGGTGGCGACATCTTTTAGTCTGAAAAGAGGCTAGCAGACATTTTTGTGACTATATTCATAATATTGAGACAAACTATAGGCCATCAATAACACTCCATGTGCTTTGTTGTTTATCTAAAGTCATTGTAAAGGTTCAGTTTTTTAGTAGTTCATCAAAAATAAATGGAGTAACAGGTTATCATTTGGAAGTAAAGTGAAAAAATATTTTAAAAAAACTTTTATTTATATTAATTATTATGGAAGTGTAAGTAAAAAATTTAATTTTGATTTAATCGATATAATTAAGAGGATAAGGAAAATTTTATCTCCAGCATGTTTATATGATAAAATGATGAAAATTAAATTAGCCGACATTTGAAAAATTTTAATAATTTATTTTGTTGAAAAATAATTTTTTAAAAATTAAAACAAAAATTTACACTGGTAGAAAATTTTACAAATTATCTGTGGAATTTTTTTAAAAAAAGTTTAAACTATTTTAATTAAAAAAAAAAAAAAAAAAAACAAAAATTTTTTAGTGTCGGCGAACTTAATTTTCATGATAAAATGAGTTTTTTAAACGACATTAAAGTTATCAGTGACTTTACAATTTTTTAATTTTATTTAACAAAAAAATTTCTTCCAAAAAATCATTATTTTTAAAAAATTGTATTTTTAATATTTGGAAATTTCTACATGTCAATTTTTTAATTCTAATTTTTTTGCGCTAATTTATTTCTTAAATAAATTCTAAAATTTATTAAATATCTGCTACTTTTTCATGTTTTTTAAAATTATATTTATGATACAGAAGTTAGCCGACGTTTTTAATTTTTTAATTTTTTTTTAATCATTTAATTACTACTAAAAATGTTTTTTTAAAATTGCACTGTAGTTTTTCAAATTTTATTATTTTTAACAGATGAAATTTTTTTTCTCTATTCTCGGTTTTATATATTTTTCAATGATAGTCAATTTATTATGGCATTAAAATTAGCAGTCTTGGCCAGTTTTTAATTGTTTTTTAATAAAAAAATTTGTTTTGAAAAATTACTTTTAAAAAATTGCATTATTAATTTCTTAAAATTTCTACATGTCATTTTTTTTGCAATAATTTATTTGTTAAAAAAAATTATTAAATATTTTCCAAATTAATTTTCATCAATTTTTTATTTCAAATTTTTGGAGGAATTTTTAACAGTTTGTTGGTCCTATAAATTTGTTCCGTCACATTTGTCCATTAAATTATTTGTAATTGATCCTGCCATAGCATAATTATTTTTAAAATTTATTTAAAAAATTCCCAAACTATGTTTAGTATGATAGAAATATCAAAATATCGTCAAGCCAAAGTTTTCCTATTTACAATCCGCAAATCTCGGTAGTCACATAGTGTTGACTTTAAAGTTAGCAGTCACTTGACAATTTTTTAATTTTATTTAACAAATAAATTTGTTCCAAAAAATGGCATTTTTAATTTTTTAAAATTTCTACATGTCACTTTTTTTTCTTATTTATTTGTCAAAAATATCATAAAAATTAATTATATTAAAGTTAGCAGCCGCGGGAACATTTTTTAATTTTTTTTAATAAATACATTTGCTCCAAAAAATTATTTCTAAAAAATTGCATTTTTTATTTTTTTAATTTTCTAAATGTCATTTTTTTTTCTAATTTTCTTAAAAATAATTTATTTGTTAAAAAAATTCTTAAAATTATAAAATATCTGTTAAATTAATTTTCATAAAAATTATCAAATATCTGCTAAATTAATTTTAATCACAGTGACTGCAGGTTGCTAATTGTTATTATGTATTCAACATCAAAAATATGAAATTTCATAATATGTATGCTGAAAAAAGTAAAGTTGAATTTTGAAAAAAAGCATATTTTTTGTAATTTAGTTTGTTGATAACCAAAATTTTAATAATTAAAAATAATAACTTCTCTTGATGGTTATAGGGTTGAAGAAAACGTAGCTCATTTGAGTAATTATGAAGTACTGGCGCTATTAAACGAAAAGCAAGCCAATAAACAGAACAAAAATCATCAACCACAAGCTACAATATTTTTTTCCACAATAAAATATTTAAATGGAACTCCCTGCAGTAGTCAAACTCCTGAAAAAATAAGAAACTTTATGAAGGCCGTTCAACCATTCAAGTTAACCAAATGTGAGAAGTTGGCTTTGTTGAATTTAAGCCCGAGCACTCCGTTGGAAATGCAACTGGTAAGAAAGTTTGATTTAATAAATAAACAAACTTTCAAATAATTCTAATAATATAATTTTTTAGATTGTTGAGGCCAGTGATGATGGTCGTTTGAGTGAAGCTGAAATTGATAGTCTACTGGAGCTGGTTCAAATCCATTTAGGTGACGGAAGCGCGAAGAATACAAGTTAATTATTTATTTTATTTACATTTTCTTTATTGTTAATATCTGAGGTGTGATAAATATTGTGCGATTGTATGAAATTTTATAAACTTATCATCTCTTCTGATCTCCCAAGTCATCGATTGAGTCTTCGTCAATCTGCAATCAAATATATATTTATACAGAATAAAAAACTTGATTAAAAATAATTTAAGTATTTTATGAAGAAAATATACCTGTGGCCATTTTTCCGGAATCACGTCAAACAAGTCGTCTTTAACATCTCCTTGAATAACTATTTCGTCGTCTCCAGTGACACTAGAACCGCAAGCGAATTTACTTCCGAAGAACTTGGCTGCAACCTTCAGATCAATATCTAAAAAAATAACATTATTAAGTAATACATAAAAAAAAAATTACATCTTTACACATTATCTGACAGAAATTTGTCAAAAATAAATTTTAATTGTTGTATTTTCACTTAAGATTTTCTCTGATGGTATGAGACTTCATACCGAAAAATATCATGGTGAAAAAATAATAATAAAAAATTGAACATTCTTTAAGAATTGAATAAGGTAACAGGCTTAAAATAATAACTAAGGTAAAAGACCCCATTAGTGGCACTATAAGGAAAGGGGTTAACTGAATGATTTTTTTATTATAGTTAAAGTACAAATATTGAATTTTTTTTGTACTTAATGCCTTCATTAATGTTTAAATTTAGATAGTTAATTTAAAAAATTTTAATTTTTCCAAATTTACCGTTATTTATGATTATTTAAAATCCATCATTCAAATAATATTAATACATTTAAACCGACGTCGATCAAGCACTGGAAGGTAACAGTAATTGAAAAAAATAATTACCGAAAGTACTGAGACCAGTGACCACTGTTACTGATTTCTTTTTACCCCTCGGGGCTCTAGAAACAGTAATCAGCTTAGGAACATCCTCTTTCTTCTTGGTTTTCAGCATACCCTTGCCACCTCGCTTCTGTCTTTTCTTCTCATCATCACCAGCACCAGACTCAGCGGTTCCGTCTTCCATCAACTTCATCTTCTCGAATTCTTTTGGAAGATTTCTTTCCAGCCATTGCTTACATTTGTCGTACTCTGGGTAGTATTCACAGTACTGCAATATAATTATTATTATTAATAAAAATTTATGAGATTTTTTGTCAGTATAATTACTGGTTTATCTTATAAATTGTAATTAAGAATGCTAAAATGTTTGTTATATAAGCGATGGATAATGATCAAGGCTTCATAATCTTTGTTTCATTGAAAAATTATTTCTGTTTCTTACAATTTTTTGTAACTGTTTAGTTTCACGGTCATTTAGATTTTTTTTTAGATAAAATCGTAAAATTAACATTTTTTTCTTTAATTGTTCTATTATTTAACAGTAGATTTATGATCATTATAATTTGAGAAATACCTTTTTTTTTTAATTTTAAAGATTTTAATTTTAACAAAAATTTTATATCGACCGAAAATCGTTAATAAAATGTGTCCACGTAAATCTAATAATTCTTTTTATATTTTAGGTGTTGAAACAAACAATTTAAACAAAAATAAATTTAAAAAAATGTCCATTTTTATGACACTAAAAATAGCATGAAAATTAAATTAGCCGACACCTGAAAGTTTTTATCATTTATTTTATTGAAAAATTTTTTTTTTTTTCAATTAAAAGAAAAAATTTCACCTGTAGAAAATTTTTTAAATTATTCGTGCAATTTTTTATAAATATTTTTTTAGTTCTAATTTAATTAATAGAAAAAAAATCAAAAATTATTGATTGTCGGCTAATTTTAGTATCATGAAATTAGCAGACACTTGATAATTTTTTCATTTTTTTTTAAATATAAACAAGCTCTAGAAAATTACATCTATAATTTTTAAAACTTCTAAAGATGGAATTTTTCGAATAAATTTTTCCTTGGTATAGTTTATTTGTTAAAAAAATTCCAAAAACTATCAGATTTCTTTGTTTTTTTTTTTTTATTATTCTATTTTTGATGAACGTTAAAAAAAAAATATTTAATTGTTCATAAAAAATTCTAAAAATACTTTTTATGAGTTAAAATATTGTGAACGGTGGAACTAAACAGTTCTAAAAAAATTAGCCGATATCTAAAATTTTTTTTTATGAAAAAATTATTACAAAAAATTCCATTTGTAAAAAAAATAGAAAAACTCTCAATGCAATTTTTTAAAAATATTTTTTAGTTCTTATTGAATGAATGAAAGAAAAAAATCTTAAAATCAAAAACGTCTAGCTAATTTTAGTTTTATAAACAATTCCCAAATTTTATCATCTCGAATCAATCAGTTTGTTCAAAATAACAATCATAATTACAAAACTGATTGAAAAATGAAGTACAATTCAATAATTAGCTATCATTTCTTTCAACTTTTTCTCAAAAAGTTCCTTATAATCAAGAAAAGTTTACATGATCCTCAAATCAGCAGGCTTGACAATTTTTTTTTATCAATTAAAACATTACTAAAAAATATTTCCAAAAAATTGTATTTATAATTTTTAAAATTTTCAAGATATAGAATATTTTATTTTTACTTTTTTAAAATAAATTTTGTCAATAAGAAAAATTCTAAAAATTGTCAGATTTCTGCTAATCAAATTTTCATTAAATCAACAAAGTAAAACTATTTTATAAAAAAAGATAATTAAAAATTTACTTCAAGAGGAAGAGAGCAGTTTCCACAATATTGAACTTGAATTGGATACGTGACATTGGGATCAGGTCCAAGATGAAATTCGGGTTGCTCTAGCTCAGCCATCTCAACAATTAATCACAATTTTAAAAAAAATAACAAATCTGTATAAAGATATAAATTTAAAAAATTATTTAAAAATACAAGCAGTCTTTCTTCTAAGTATCAATAAATAAAGCAATTAAAATAAAGCTTAATAAATCGATGTAATATGCACAATTGTTTGCTTTTTTTACGGCGACGAATTAGCGATCGTTACGAGGTTATGTGATATATGCGAGTATATATATATTTTTTTTTTTTTACAAAATTTAATAATAGTTCCAATAAAACTCACCAGATGGCGCTAGCGGTATTAATTTGCGCGGTGATAATTTTTCTCTCTCAGTCAGACTCAGCGCTCAGGATGACAGTTAAAAAAAGAGAGAAGATGATGATTGGTCAGGGAGTGACTGTTACAGCAGCGGTTCACTAGAAACAAGAAACAGAGAGATAAGTATATATATAGTTTTATGTACATATATATAAAATGCAAGGTATAAATATATAATACAGATAAAGAGACAGATAAATATAAAAAAGATGAGGAGCGAAGAGGAAGAAGAAGAAAAAGCAACTAGACACTACTAGCGAGCAGTAATAGAGAACAATTACGATTTCCACCGTCTAGTTCTTGGAGCAGCAGCAGCAGTATCACCGCGGATAATTCTCCACACTGTTCACGGCCTCGTTGCCGTGATTTTCATCAGTAATTGAATTAATTATTTTTAAGTGTTTAAATTTTATTTAACAGTTGCTAACACATTTAAAATAAAACCAGAGTTTTATCCAGCATAAAATCTATTTTATAAATATTAATAACTGTGGTGACAAAGTTATTTAAATTTATTGACGAGAGTTTTAAGTGGGACATGGCTCTTGGGTCTCAAGTTGAAGCAAACGGCAAGGATGGAGCCGTACAAATTCCGATGGTTAATGGAACCGACAAACGTGTTGGTGAGATAATTCTCCGAGTATATTTTATCTAAATAATAATACTAATTTATTTATTTATTTTATTTTTTAGTTAATTCTTATTTTGTGTTAACAAAAACCGCGAGTCTCATCAAGATACCGGGCATCGCACTCTCATGTGTTATATAACATTCAATTGCACATACATTTTCGAGGTCTCGTGGTTATATGAGCTCGATACTCACATTATTACACTTATATACTTTTTAATAATTTAATTCAAGTTATTTTTTACTTTACTACTTACTACGACTATTGTTCCTCATAATAATAATTATTCATTGTCAGGGGGTGCTAATTTATTGGAGCTATCAATTAGTTGATTAAATAATCCCGCTGTAATTATTATGAATTATTCCACTGAGAATTTAACCGTACATTGCAAGTTAAATTACAAGGTTGCATCATCTCGCAATATTTAACTCCAAAAGTTTTTTTTTTTTTTTAAATACTTTGAGACTTTCTTATTTAAATATACTAATAGTGTAAATAGATTTTTAAATTAACACCAAAAAAAAAGGCTAGGGTACCCGAATACCAAAGTATGAGACCACGTGACTTACAACGTGGTTTCTTACTTTTTTCCCGGCGTGGTATTTAAAATTACGGTTTTTTTCACCGTGAGATTTATTTTGATATTATTTTAGTTTAGTTAGTTATTTTTTTTAATTTTGCTGGGCTTATTGAATAATTGAATATTTTAATTCATGAAACCTTGGACTTGAAACCTACCCGGAGACCCACGGGTAGAGGAAACCATTTAAAGGAGGGGAGTAAGAAAGAAAAAAGTAAAAAAAAAATAAGAGAATGTGAGAATGAAGCACTTTTTGCTTTTTTAATTCAGTGTCTCTTTTTTTTATTTATTGAACTTTTATTGTTTATTTAATTTTTATTATGGAGCAATTCCATTAATTATTAAGTGCTGAGTAATCTTTTGAAAGAATATACACTAAATGAAAAGAGATAACCCGTGGTTATCTCAATTGATTTGCTAACATTTGTTATATTGGCGCTTTTTTAAATTTTAATATTAACAACAAAAATAATAATAACAATGATAACTATAAAAATAATTTTATAAATAATTATAATGCAAAAAAATAGTCATCAAAAATCTAAAAAATTAGAAATTAAAAAATTTCGGATTTTTATTATAAAAAAAATCTTTAATTACATTTTGTTAAATAATTAGATACTTATTATAAATTCAAATAATAATTACTTGTAATATTTTCTTAAGTTCTTAGAAAATTTCTAAATATTTAATAAAAATTTTATAATAATTAACTTATACATTACAGTTGGAAAAAAAAATCAAAAATATTTTTTATTTTATTAAATAAATTTAAAAAAATTTTTTAAGTTTCTATAAATTTATTGAAAGATTTATGAAATTAAAAAGAAAATTTGCTAAATATTTACACAAAAAAATGTTCTTGAATCAAGTCTATAATTTTGAAGAACTTAATATTCTTGATTTGAGTAGAAAAATTTTTAATTTAAAGAAATTTTACTTGATTTAAAACAATTACCCTCTTTAAAATTATATTTTTGATTTAAAAATTTTTCTCTTGAATCATTAATTTTTTTTTTTTGACAAGTGGAGTCAACGATTGTAATTTTTAATTTTTTAAACGAAATTTCTATTTGATTTTATTGATATACTTTTTTTTTAAAATACATAAAAAAATGAACAGTTAAAAAAAAATTAATAATCACAATTTTAACAAATTTTCAATAAAATTAATAATTTTTTAAAAAAAATTGTAATACTCACCTTTTTTTTTTTTTAAATTGTTCGTTTTTTTGTATACTTTTCAAAAAAAAATATATGAAAAACATCAAATAAAAATTTTATCCAAAAATTTTTTCTAACTTTCAAAGATGATTTTTTAATTGAAATATTATTTTTTTTATATTTTCGATATCATCACAATAAATCCGCCGTAAAAACAAAGTTAAAAAAAAAAATTCTGATCCATCAATTCGTCTATTAGTTTTTGTTCAAAAATAGGTTTGACCACTTTAAATAATTACCGACAATTTTTTTTTAACTATAATAATTATTAAAAAACTTTTCAATGTTTATAACATTTTTTTTTTATACAATACTGTCGTTTAAAATGTACACATAAATTGCATATAAATAGTTTGCTGATAAAAATACTTTTGGCATTTAGGAGTACACTCTGATTTACATTGCGTGTATTTATAAGTTTACTCGTGAATGCAAGGGAGTCCGTGCTACCCCTCTTATTCCTCTGTCTAAAACGAATTCTTCTTGGTCTTCTCCGTAGTTATCTATTTGTTATTCATTATAAATTATAAACTACTATTACTATTACTAATATGATCATAACAATTTATATTAATTGATATTTTATAAATTAAATTTTTTAGATGACGAGCAGCAAGATAACGAGGCGAATGGAAGCAATTCCAGTGATAATATTTTGGAGAAGGGTGAAGTAGAGGCTACGAAGGAGGGGGAGAAGGAAAAAGACAAAGAAAAAGACGCTGACGACAAGGAAAAAGATGGCGAACAGGAAGTAGTTTTTATACAGGACATGGGCTTCACGGTTAAAATCGTGAGCCCGGGTGGCGAGCCCTTTGACATCCAGGTATCGAGCATGGAGCTGGTCCAGGAAATCCACCAACTGCTGATGGACCGCGAGGACACATGCCATCGCACGTGTTTCTCTCTGCAGCTCGACGGCAACACGCTGGATAATTTTGCGGAGCTAAAAAACATCGAGGGGCTGAAAGAGGGCTCGATCATCAAGGTTGTTGAGGAGCCTTACACGATGCGCGAGGCCCGGATTCATGTGAGACATGTGCGCGATTTACTTAAATCCGTCGATCCGGCAGACGCTTATAACGGGGTAGAGTGCAGCAGTTTGTCCTTTTTGAATGTCGTTACCAATGGAGACATTATGGAGAAGAAAAAAACACGGACAGATGCTATCGATTGCACGCCTCCTGATTATATTATACCGGGGTCCAAGGAAAGACCGCTTTTACCTCTTCAACCTCAGGCGAAAGAACAGAAATGCCCGCCGTGTTTGAAGGTACTTTTTCTTTTAATATTTAAAATTTTTTATGAAATAATATTGCTATGAGCAATCCTATTAATTCATTCACTGAAAAAAAAAAAATTAACTTGAATCAAGAGGAAAATTTTTGAGCCAAGAAAATGATTAGTAATTATTCACAAGTAGGGTGCATCATTTTAATTTTCATTTTTTTAAATGAAATGTTTTTTTGAAAATTTTGATATATTTTTTTTGAAAAATAAATAAAAAAATGAATTAATAAAAAAAAGGTTGATTATCACAATTTTAACAAATTGCAATGCACAATTTAAAAATTTTAACAAATTAGAAATTTTTTTATAATTTTATAGCAATAAAATTATTTTGAAAATAATTTAATAAAAAAATTTCACATGTGAAAATAAAAAAAATTTTGGTAAATATTTACAAATGGAGTCATCCATTTTAATTTTCATTTTTTTGAACGAAATTTCTATTTGATTTTATTGATATATATATTTTTTTTTAACAATTAAAAAAAAAAAAGTTGATCTCAATTTTAACAAATTTTCTAAAAAATTTATAAATTTAAAAAAAAATTATAAAAAAAAAGATAAAATAGAAATTTTATCCAAAAAAGATGAGCCAAAATGTTTTCCAACTTTTGAAGGCAAAAAAGCTATCGAAATCTTTATTATTTTCTTTCACGACATTTTTTGTCATAAATGCGCCATAAAAACAAGCAGAATAAAAAAAAAAATTAAAAATTAAAAATATTAGTTTTCACTTAGATATGGCCAAAAATAGGGCGGACCCCACTTGTAAATAATTACCAAATAATTTTGAAGAGTTTCATTGTCTTGAATCAAAATGAAAAATTCTTGAATTGAGTAAAATTTACTTAAATCAAGAAAAATTTCTTAGTTTCTTAAAAATTATTTACTTGATTCAAGTAAATTTTTTTTTCTGTATTTTTATTCTTAAATTTATAATCAATATTTCACAGTATGCCCAGTATATCAGTGAAATATTTATTATTATTAGCAATCAATCAATCGTTAAGAAGCTTGAGGGAAAATTACTTGGAAATGGCTTTCTCTCATTACTTACTTTTAACTCAATGACCACTCGATTTCCATAAATGTATGCGTTTCATTGCATTTTTATGAGCAATCTACATTTTTTAATCTTTTTAACACAACGTTAATGTTTGATAAATTTTTATGTTTGAATTATACTTTAAAATATTGAATTTAAATAAATTAATAATACGCACTTAGAATTAAAAAAAAAAATCAATTTTTTTTGTAAAGCTTTTTCTTAAAACTTTCTTTTCAAAGTTTTTCACTCTAATTTTTACACAATTTTCTTAAGTATATTTTTAAGTAATTGATTCAAGGATTAAAAATTCATAAATATTTTATATTTTTATAAACAATTTTCATCCAAAATCAATTTTTTTTGTCAAGCTACCTTATAAGAAATTATGGATAGGATTGATAATAAATAATGAGAAAATACAATATTATTATTATTATCTACATAGATTGATTTAAATAGAATCTTTATTTTTAAAAAATCGAGTTTAGTCGCAGATTAACTATAATGTTAAAATTATTTTATTGTGAGGTCTAACCTTCTGTATTGTCCTTAGTAAAACACATGTTTTTCTTCTTAACTAAGATCGTAATATTTGGTTATACTGCACCTAGTAAAATAAGGAGTCCTTTGTACACTTCAAGTCCCTAAGGTCATAAAATCAAGCATATACAGGCTTTCTTATTCTAGCTGCACAAATGTACCTTAAATCTATTTTTCACATTTCAAAACTAATAAAATAAAATATACAGTTTTTCTAAAATAAATATTTCTAAGAACAAAAAATATCTAAAATATAAAACTAAAAGTTTTGTAACTGGGATTTATTTTTGCTCAGAAAATCCAATATACCTGCCATATATATTTTCTACAGGAGCTAGAAAAATAATTATTAAAAAAAAAAAGAAAGAATTTATTTTAGTTCCAAGTCACTACTATAAGTGTATTTATTATTTTTTATTAATCAATAAAACTTCTTTAGAAAATTATTAAATCAATAAAAAAAAAAGTTTTAATAGAAATAGCTTATCTAAGTGAAGTTGTACGTGATAACTATTTTCAAAAAAAATAATTATTCAAATAATTTAAAATTAAAAACTAAGTTCTAGATAATTTATTGTAATTTTTTAAAAAATTTAGCAATTTTAATTTTTACTTGCTCATGATTTTGTTATATATTTAAAAAAAAAGAGGGTAATTATTTACAAGTGGGGTCAAATCTATTTTTGGTCATATCTAGGTGAAAAATTAACCATTAAAAATTTTTTTTCGATTCTGCTTGTTTTTACGGCGGATTTATGATAAAAAATGTCGTGAAAAAAAATAAAGATTTCGATAGCTTTTTTTGCCTTCAAAAGTTGGAAAAAATTTTAACTCATATTTTTTATATATTTTTTTTTGAAAAGTACATCAAAAAACGAACAATTTAAAATTTTTTTGAAAATTTGTTAAAATTGTGATAATCAACTTTTTTTTTTTTTTAATTATTCGTTTTTTATGTATTAAAAAAAATATATCAATAAAATCAAATAGAAATTTCGTACAAAAAAATGAAAATGAAAATGGTTGACCCCACTTGTAAATATTTACCAAAAAGATTATTTTTAGTTAATAGAATAAAAGCTAAAAGAATAATATTTCCAGGTTTTAACAACATCAGGATGGAATCCACCGCCAGGTTACAGGAAATTACATGGAGATTTAATGTATCTACAGGTGATTACCTTAGAAGATAAGCAGTATTACGTAACTGCGTGCGCGCGTGGTTTTTTTGTAAATCAGTCTTCGAAGGAAACATTTAACCCAAAACCAGCGACACCAAGCCACCTGTGTCACAGCTTGATCGAGCTGTTGAACCAACTAAGCCCAGCATTCAAACGCGGATTCGCAGCGATGCAGCGCCGAAGAACCCAGCGACATCCTTTCGAGAGAGTCGCGACGCCTTATCAACTGTACGCTTGGTGTGCTCCCCAAACCGAGCATACAATCGACGCGATTCGCGCAGAAGATACTTTTTCAGCGAAGCTGGGGTATGAAGAACACATACCTGGACAAACGCGCGACTGGAATGAAGAGTTGCAGACTACCAGAGAGTTACCACGTAAAAATCTTCCCGAGAGACTGCTCCGAGAACGTGCCATATTTAAAGTACACAGCGATTTTGTCGCCGCAGCGACCAGAGGCGCAGTCGCCGTTATTGACGGCAATGTAATGGCCATAAATCCTGGAGAAGAAGCCAAGATGCAGATGTTTATATGGAACAATATATTTTTCTCGCTAGGTTTTGATGTTCGTGATCACTATAAGGAGCTAGGTGGAGATGCTGCTGCTTTTGTTGCACCACGAAATGATCTTCAGGGTGTGCGAGTCTACGCAGCTGTTGATCTACCCGGTCTTTATACTCTAGGCACCGTTGTAATTGATTACCGGGGTTACAGAGTCACTGCTCAGTCAATTATTCCGGGAATTCTGGAACGCGAGCAAGAGCAGTCGGTTGTCTATGGGTCTATAGACTTTGGAAAAACAGTTTTGACTCATCCAAAGTACCTGGAGCTGCTAAACAAAGCTGGTCAGCAGTTAAAAATCTTGCCTCACAAGGTTATAAATGACGCGGGTGAAGAAATAGAATTATGCAGCAGCGTAGAGTGCAAAGGAATTATCGGAAACGACTCTCGTCATTACGTATTAGATTTATTACGTACATTTCCTCCAGATGTTAATTTTTTGAAGCTAGATGGCGTTGAGCTGAGCAAAGAAGCCCGAGCTCTGGGATTCCCAATTGAACACAAGCATCGGTTAGCGTGTTTGAGACAAGAGCTTATTGATTCCTTCGTAGAGGCTCGCTATGTTCAGTTTATCAAGCACGCTGCTGTCCATTTGCAACAGTTGACTTCTTCCAGGTTGTCCCAGCAGATGGAAAAAGAGTCGATTGGCGAGAAGGAAAAGGAAAAGGAGAAAGAAAAAGAAAAAGATGAGGCTAAAGCTAAAAAGGAAGAGTCTGTTAGCGCTGTGGTAATTGATAGTAATAAAGAAACTTCGGAACAGTCGACAATTGAAGCGGATGAAGCTAAAAAAATTGTCGAGAGTATCACCGACTCGATAACAGGAGGTGAGAAACAAGAGCTGGAAGAAAGCACCAAAGAAATAGTTCGTAGAGCCGCTGCGGCTGTAGGGAGTCTTCGTGAGGCTGAATTTGATGTTAAATTTAACCCAGACGTCTATTCACCAGGAGTCCGTCATCCGGATCCGAATGGTGAAGCTATAAAGAAACAACGTCAATTAGTTCGCGACGCCGCCGATTTTTTGCTTACAGTCCAGCTTCCGACGTTTATTCGCGAGTGTCTAGATCACACTGCTGCAGCGACAGATGGTAGCACTCTTGTAGAAGCGCTCCACGGTCGTGGTATCAACGTTCGTTATCTTGGTAAATTGGCTGTCATGCTGGCTATAGTGCCTCAACTTAAATACTTGCATCGTATTTCTGTATCAGAGTTGATTTTAAGATCAGCTAAGCACATATTCACCTCTTACATGCAAGGAACAGAGTTAATGAGCCTCTCGGCGGCGATTAGTCACTTTCTTAATTGTCTGTTATCATCAGCACAGCTTCCTCATCCGCAATTAAATTTGGAAGAGTTGCAGAGCAAAACTGCGAAGCGACGTAATAAACGTAAAGGAAGAAACAATGGCCCGCATCAGTCAGAAGTTGAATGGGCGAGCTTGACACCTAAATCACTTTGGCAGCAAATCAAAGCTGATTTAAAGAGCTACTACGATTGGGAAACGTTAGCTCCAGAGTCGCTAGATTCTACTATTGAGCATTTTAATCTCCAGAAAATTTCTCTCCTTCGTGGGTTCTGTATCAAAACAGGAATTCAAATTCTTTTGCGTGAGTACAATTTTGAGAATAAAAACAGAGCTACGTTTTTTGAGGAAGACATTCTGAACATATTCCCTGTGGTGAAGCATATTAATCCGCGTGCTAGTGACGCTTATAATTTCTACACCACTGGCCAGAACAAAATTCAACAGGGGTACCTCAAAGACGGGTACGAATTGATAAGCGAAGCCCTTAATTTACTGAACAATGTTTATGGCGCAATGCATCCTGAAATAGCCCAGTGTTTGAGAATGCTCGCGAGATTGAACTATATAATGGGCGACCACGGTGAAGCACTAGCAACTCAACAGAAAGCGGTTCTTATGTCTGAGCGTGTGAGTGGAATCGATCACCCCTACACCATCACCGAGTATATCCACTTGGCGCTTTATTCGTTTGCCAACGGACAAGTGTCTGTGTCTTTAAGACTTCTCTATCGAGCTCGGTACTTGGCTTTGCTTGTTTGCGGAGAGGATCATCCTGAGGTAGCGCTTATCGACAGCAATATTTCGCTCATCCTCCACGCAGTTGGGGAGTATGAACTTTCTTTACGTTTTCTTGAGCACGCTTTGGCGCTCAATTTAAGATACCACGGACCTCGTTCGCTTAAAGTTGCCGTTTCTTATCACTTGGTCGCGAGGACGCAGTCGTGTATGGGAGACTTCCGTGCTGCCTTGAATAATGAAAAGGAAACTTACGCTATTTACAAGCAACAGCTGGGAGAAGAGCATGAGAAGACTCGGGAGAGCAGTGATTGTCTGAGACATTTGACCCAGCAAGCTGTGGTGCTTCAGAAAAAAATGAATGAATTGTACACTGGGAAGTCGAGTCTCAGTTTGCCGCCCATACAAATCCAGCCACCCTCTATGGGTTCTGTTTTAGATTTACTTAATGTCATCAATGGGATCTTGTTTGTTCAAATTAGTCAGCAGGATATTGAAAACTTGAAGGCGGAGATTGAAAAACGACAGAAGGAACAGATACCTGAAAATGACATCAAACGTCAAGATAGCAAGAGTTCAACGCCTATGATTAATGAGACAGATAAAATACTTGCTATTACTCAAGACACTTGCACAAATACTGAGAATAACAAAGAGACCAGAAAGTCAATAGCCACGGACAGTTGAATTTTTTAACATTTATAAGTTTCGTATCGCTTTATTTTTAGTCTTATATTGTTAGAGTTAATACATCGCTGTATCAAAACCAAAAGGGAGTGTAAAAAATTTTTTTTTTCTTTAACTCCACGGAAAGAACATGATACTAGATATCATCCTAGATTATACTCAGTGATATCTGTGGTGAAAAAAAATTTCAGATAGTATTTAAGACAATATTTGACTATCCTAATATCTAAAATACTTAATAGATATGATTAATGCTAAGTGCGCAGGCGCTAAAAAAAATGGCGGAGATATCACTGAGGATATAATCTGGGATGATATCCAATGTCGTATTGTTCTTTCCGTGTAGGGAATTAATAAAAGTAAAAATCTCGTTGAAAAAAATTTTTTTTTGACGTACGTCTTTTTTAGCTTTAAGAAAAAAACTTTTTAAAGCCTAAAGATAAGTCGAGATCTAACGAAAAAATTTATTTTTGGAAATTGAATTACAGTCCAATTTTCTCGAAATTTTTAACTTTTTTTTAACAAGAAATAAGAAATTTTATTTTAAATTTTTTCGATAAATTTTTACAAAACACGAAAAATTGAAAATTTTTAAAATTGAGATGTGTTAGTGTTTTCAGTCTGATTTTCAAAAATCAATTTTTTCCAAGATCTCAACATTTTGAGGTTCTGAGATTCAATTTTAATTATTTTTTCATATGAGCCCTTTTGGCTTGAAAATTTTTTTTCTTAATCAGATTTTTACTTTTTTTACATTCGTTAGTCAGAGATAAAAAAATTTTTTATGCGCTCTTTTGGTTTTAGTAATATAACGCGACATTTTTAATCAATTGTCTTTTTTAGGCAAGAAAAAAAAGAGACACGGCAGTGTTCCTGACCAACTAAAAATATCTGTATTACAAATGTCAAAAAATCAGTACCAAATTTACAACCTAGAATTATTATTTAATTTTTTAACGTTATTATTTTTAAAAATAACCTTTTAGATGAGTTTAATATTTATTCTTATAAATTTGAATAGATATTCCTACTGTGGGTGTATTATTTCCACAGAAAATTAACAATAATTACTTTTTAAAGTTATTAAAAATTCCTTGCTTTGATTTTTTTACTTTTTTCTTAAATTGTGAAGAAAAAGTAATAGAAATATTTTTAGAGAGCTGAAACACTGCTCGAGATACTTTCGCCTTTACAAATCACTGATAATTATAAATCTAACGCTTGTTCATTTTTATATTTCAACTTACCATGCCACGTCGCTGTAAAAGCTTGTTTTTCTTTTAATTTTTTTTTTCTTTTTTTATTCTATTACAAATACCAGTATACGCTGTTATTACAGTACTATTATATTATTTTATTACTATTACTATTATTAACTACTGTTAATTAATAATAATTGTTATTATTATTATTATACTTTATTTTACTTATGAATTTTGCTCATCGAGCTAACAACAGGTAATGAAAGCCAAAGATTAGCTCCTCAATATAATACTACAGCGAGATTTATAAATAATATAAGTGGCACATGAGATTTAAATCTAAAATACCTAATGAGTAATAAGAAAATAAGCCCGGTGTATTACGGGAGTGTCCTTATTACTTAAAAGCCCGATACTTGTAGTTGTTGACTTTGTAAATAATTTTTCGACGAAAAGATTAAGTAAAATAAAATAAAAGAAGAAATGTACGTTCATGTTATTGAAACACTCTTAGTGAGATTGATATTGAACATTTAAAATAACAAATTAATAAACTGCGAATATTTTTATTTTCGCGGTTTTATTAATAGATATTAATTATTTGTTTCTGTTAAACCATTTATTATTTTTTATAATGTGTTTATTGTGTAATTAAAACGAGTCGTGCCACTGGGCCTGTGTATTGAGATACAGGACAAATAGCAATTACTTGTATTGAGTATGTTTATAACTGTTGATTAATTGGCGTTCATGATCCAAATAAAACAAAGTGTTCAATTAATTAGATAATATTAAATCTAACAAATAAAATAATGAACGAGTAAACGCTGCAAGTATGTTATTTTTTTTTTTTTTTTAAGTGTGGTTGACGAGTTATTATTTTATGCGTGTTTACGTTTAATTTGTTTATAAAAGGGTGCTTAGTTTTGTAGAATTTTTTTGTTTTACAAAAGGTTTATCGATATTTAATATTTTGTTATAAGTGCTTCCAAATAAATTGTACAAGCACCTAAGCGTAAATCGTTTTACATTATTATAAAAATAAAAAAAAATAATTAAAAAAAAAAAAATGAAAAATACAATAAAACAATAAAACAAATCTTCTGTGCCGTTGATCGTATTGTTTAGATTTATAATGGAATCACGAGTGATTAGTATGATTATTGAATTGATTAATTAGATTGCGAAATTGTCAATTGAGTACATAGACTACAGCGTAATTTTAAATGAAAATAATATACTTTAGAAATGCTTATAGGATGTACAATTATCATGTTTTCCCCTGGTGCCGAATATTAATGCCGTAGAACAAATCTTAATCCCGTTGTCAGTGCTTTTATTGGCAGTTATGTTTTTTCAAGGCACAAAGCGGATAAGCTTAGTTTGTTAAAATTTTTTTTATATTTCATTAAGTATGGAAAAACACATTATTATTGTTTGCTTAATTATTGTATCGTGATTTTTCTTATATTAGGTGCATGCACTACCGATGCATACAGCAATAAATGACTTTGTTGGTAGAGAGTGTAAGAATATATTATGGTAACAATAATAAAACAAAACTAAATATTAAAATATTTAATAATAAGGAATAAATAATTATCAAAGTTAAATACATGTATGATTTGTTAACTATTTGTTGTATAATTTGATATTGAAAAAAAAAGATAGCAAACATTCAGTAAAGTTAAATAAACCATCATTTTGTATACAACATTAAAATTATTCTTGTTTTTTTTTTTTTATTAATCATTCTTTGATTTTTAATTGTTTGTTTTTTTTTCTCTTAATTTTTGGTAATTATTTACAAGTGAGGTCCACTCTATTTTTGGCCATATCTAGGTGAAAAATTAACATTTTTTTATTTTTTTTTCTGCTTGTTTTTACGGCGCATTTATGATAAAAAAAATTTCTATTTTAAAGTGCATAAAAAAAACGAATAATTTAAAAAAAAAAATATCACAATTTTCTAAAAGATTTTTAAATTTTTTTGAAAATTTTTTAAAATTGTGTTAATCAAAATTTTTTTTTTAATTAAGATTGTTAATCAATAAAATGAAATAGAAATTTCGTTCAAAAAAATGAAAATTAAAATCGTTGACCCCACTTATAAATATTTATCTAATTTTTAAATAATTGTCAATAATTTTGTAAAAATTTATAATCCTAGATACCTTTATATAGTTTTTTTTTATACGTATGTGTTATTTTATACATTAATATCCGTTTGCATAAAATAATGCATACATATTTTAATGTTTACTGATAAATATAAGCTTATATAATTACATACAAGTTTTTATATTTATATAAATGTAATTGATACAAAATTATTTTATCTTAAGACTGATGCACAGTTTGGATAAAATAATAATGATACTGAACTTAACAGACTTTTAATGATTTTTTAGATTTTTATAACAATTAAATTATAGGGAAAAAAATTTAGCAGAAAAATTTCACAATTAAAAATTTTTTTAAATTATAAGTGCGTATTTTTAGAAATATTTTTTTATAATAATTTATTTGTTGTAAAAATTCCAAAAGTTATAGGATATTATAGGTGATGATCAAAATTCATATTTAATTTTATGTAATTATATAAAATATTTTGTCCTGCAATTTATAAGTTACGTATTGTTAACAAATTACATAAAATTTTCACTCTTTTTTATTCACGATACTGAAATTAATAGGCATTTGTTCATTTTTGTAAAATTTTATAACTAAGTTATTGATACTGAAGTTAGCTGACAACTGTTAATTTTTTTAGAATTTTAACAATTAAATGATTATAAAAAAAATTTAATTAAAAAATTCCACATGTGAAATTTAATAAAAATTATGAGTGAAAATTTTTAAAAGCAATTTTTTTAATGTAATTGATTTGTTATTAAAATTGTTTAATTAATAATTGAGGGCTAACTTCAGTATTATCTAAGTTAAGTATTATTAAAAACTTAAGATTAAAAAATTCCACATGTAGAAATTTAAAACAATTACAATTGCAAATTTTGAAAAAATAAATTTTTTTTACAATTAGTTCGTAACAAAAATTTAAAAAAAAATTATCAGATGTTTGCTAATTTCAGTATCATAATTATTTTAAATATTAATTAAAATCATTTGATAAAACTGATTAGACAAAATTTTTATATTTTTGTTTTAACTTGACTTAAAAAAAAAAAATATTAATTTATAAAAATACCGTCATCTTTGTTAAACTCCATTGTGAAAGTATTTCTTCGCAGTTTTTAAAAAACTGTTGGTTCAGTTTGTTTTTTAAATTAGAAGAGTTGCTTCTTTACCGAGCGGAACGAGTTAGAACATTTTTCCCTCCATAATTGTGACTTGTAATTGTTGTAATGCTTCTTGAACCTGCATAGTGCCTACTGCTGAAAATACTGAAAATAAATAAAAAAAAGTCACTTTTAACAATTGAAGAAATTGAACAATTAAAAAAGTCACTTGTTTTCAACATTGTCATTCATTTTTTAACAAAAATTAAGGTAACAATCACTCAATCTAAGTAAATGACTAATGATAAGAAAAAAAATTTTTAGAGGTTATGAAATTTTACACTAATTTAAATTTTCTTGTAGTTGAAGATGGCACCCAACAATTCAGATACATCCGACTCACCGAAAGTGTTTGTTGAAGTTCATAACGAAATCCAGTATCCGTCTTTAGAGAAAGTTAATGCCAAAGTGAACAAAAATATCAGAATCCTGTTTCGTTCTGAGAATAAAATCCAGAGATTAATCACTTATGACACTAGAAATAATTCTGAGTGTACTT